GGCAATTCGACGCGTAGTCGTTGGTCACCCATGCATGAAGCGCCCAGCGCTGTGGATGGGGATGCCAGATCGAGCCGCGGGCTTGAGTGAGGAGATCTGCTCTGATTGGAATGGGCCACGGGGCTGTCTGTGACAGCCGCGTTAGCTCCGGGAACCAATCTGATTCTCCCAGCGCGGGGCTATGAGGAGCACCGAGTGGCGTGAGTCCCTGATTCTCTGAATGACCTGCGGTAGCAGAGAAATCGGGGGAAAAGCATAGAGCGGGCGGCGGGGCCAATCCTGGGCTAGCGCGTCCTCGCTCTTTGAAAAGAATATTGGGCAGTGAGCGTTCTCTTCTGACGCGAAAAGATCTATCTCCGCTCTGCCGAATAGGCGCCACAGTGTTTGGACTGTTTGAGTGTGCAGGGACCATTCTCCGGGGGAGACCAGGTTCCTGGACAGCCTGTCTGGACCGTCGTTCAGATGGCCCAGCACGTGCGTCGCTCTGAGCGATAGCAGGTGACTCTGGGACCACAATAGGATGCGGCGTGTCAGATGAAGAGATTCTTGGATCTGACGCCGCCCTGACGGTTGATGTATGATACCACGGCCATATAGTCGGAGCGAATCAGGACGTGGTGACCGTTTATGCGCGGGAGGAAGCATAGCAGCGCGTTCTCGACCGCGATCATTTCCAGACAGTTTATGTGTAAGGAACTCTCGTGGCTCGACCACTGGCCGGCGGCCGGTGAGCCCTCGCAAACCGCTCCCCAACCCGAGTTGGATGCGTTTGTCGAGATAACTTTCCGGCGAGAGAAGGTTCCCATGGTAACGCCCCTCTGAAACCACTCGCTTACTGCCCATGGCTGCAGTGCAGTGATACATGTCTGAGTAATCCTGATCATCTGGCGGCCCGTCGTCCACTCGTGGTGGGATACGCGGCTCTTTAACCAGAGTTGAAGGGGGCGCATGTGCAGAAGACCCAGCTGTAGCACAGCGGAGGCTGAAGCCATATGACCCAGCATCCTCTGAAGCGATTTCAGGGATGTATGGGTACCCATCTGAAACGAGGCGGCCAGTCGCTGAACACGGCGCGCGCGCTGTGTGGATAAGCGAGCCGTCATCGTGATAGCGTTCAAATCTATTCCAAGGAACGAAATAGTTTGACTGGGCTGGAGAGAGCTCTTTGTCCAGTAGACAGAGAGTCCCAGCGCTTCCAGATGGTAGAGGAGAACTGTGCAGTGCGACAGCAGCTCCGTCTGGGAATCTGCTAGACTCAGCCATTCGTCCAGATAATTCAGTATGCGCAGCCCTTGACTTAGCAGGGGGGCGAGCGCTGTATCCATGCACTTCGTGAACGTACGGGGTGCTAAGGATAGGCCGAACGGGAGAACGGCATACTGATAAACTTGGCCCTCTAAGGCGAAACGTAGGAATGGCCTGTGATGAGGGCTTATCTGGATCTGAAAATATGCGTCTTTCAGGTCTTGAGAGATGAACCAGTCCCCCTGGCGGACGTGCGCGAGGAGTTTCCTGACTGTGAGCATTTTGAACGGTCTCTAATGAGCGCTTTGTTCAAAGCCCTGAGATCTAAGATCGGCCTGAGGCCGCCGTCTTTCTAGGGAACCAGAAAATAACGGCCGTAACACCCCGACTCGGTCATAGATGGTGGGACTCTCTCTATAGCGCCCTTCTGCAGTAGCTTGGCTATTTCTAAGCGAAGCGTGTTCATAGCGGGCAGCTGACAGTGGATTCGAGCCGCACGCGCGAGCGTGGCGGGCGGCGACGAAACTGTAATCGATAACCATTCTATATTATGCTAAAAACCCACGGGGAGATGCCGGGGATGGCTTCCCACGCTTCGTAAGCGGTTGAATGGATATTTCGCCCTGATTGCTGCACATCGCGGGCTGGACACTGTGTGTGGGCACGCTTATAATGTGGGTGGCAACGGGACTTACACTCAGAGAGGAGTTTTATGGGCCGTGTGACAGAGCGGGCAGAGGGGGGACACGCGCACGGGCTCGTGGGCGTGCTTATGTTCTCTGCTACAGGAGCGGAAGTGCTCGCTCCGTGAGAATGGGCTCTGTGAGACCCTGGGCATAAGGTGCTTGTGTGTGTACGTGAGCACAGCTTGTGGGCACATTTATTACACTTGAGGCTTTTATGCTCTTTTTGTGAACTCTCTGGGTAGCCGTGAAAACGGCATTTAGACGCTCGCAAGCGGGCAGGGAAAACGGCTTGTTTGTGGCGGTAAACACTACTGCAGTCAGCGGTGAAACGGGGACTAACAGTGGGCGAAGCTTTTACGGCGATCCGGCCGCAGCGGGAGAAAGCCGTCCTTTTCTCAGCTGTGCTAGGCAGACTTCAGTTGATCGGGCCTCAGCGCGATCTTGGGTCGAGGCCCCCTGGAGGAGGCTGTCTGCGGCGGCTGTCTGAGCGAGAGCGAGGGCGGCCGCCCTGTCTACGCTGGGGCTGCTGAGCTTGCTGAGGCAGGCGCTGCTGAGCTTGCTGAGGCGGGCGCTGTTGTGGGGTTCTGGCAGGAGGCTCGTGAGAGCGGCCTGTCGAAGAACTAGAGCGGCGGGGCAAGAACAGATTCATGGCCTGAGTCGCTTTCTGTACCTCGGAGAAGCGGTCAACGATGCCCGTGACGGCAGATCCGAAGAGCCCGGTAGGAGATATAGGCGCGTTGAGGAACAGGGCGCGTTCTGAATCTCCCATATCGGTGAGCGTGAGCCACAAGTGTCTCTCAGTGACAACGAGGGCGGCCATGCATTTTCCCAAGGCCTGTGCGGCGGCTTTAGCGGCGCGAAGGGAAAGATCCGTCGCGCTTCTCAGATCCGAAAGGATGGGCGGGTTCCTACCGCTGTTCGCCATCTCGCACGAGATGTCGCTCTGGAGCGCCTGGATGGAATGCAGCGCTGAGGCGGCCTGTTCGGCGGCGTCAAAGGCGCGGGCAGCATGGCAGTATAACTCATCTCGGCGGCTCCGTCCACTGAGCGAAGCGGACCCCTCGGAGCGGATAAGAGCCGAAAGAGGGGCATTCCAGGATTTAGTGAGCTCGAAGTGAAGCTCAGGCAGGAATGGTGCAGCCCGGCTGCAGGCGGGGGCCGGGCGCCGGATCGGTGGTTGCTCTGGGGGAGGAGACCACTCGAGACCCAGGCGGTGGATGGCCTGCGAAAGGAGGCGCGAAAGTCCCTCCTCGATGCCGGCGCGGGTCCCCGCAGACTCTCTCGTCGATGAGCCGATCGACGACCAATCCTCGCTGTCAGAAGGGTGCAGCGAACAAGAGTCCTTCTCATCCGCGGTGTCGTCGGAGGCGACAGAGCGGCCATACGGCGGCAACTGTAAGTCCGGCAGGGGCGGAGAGGGAGAGCGGTCGGTGGGCGGCGGCGGCGGCCCACATGGATCCGCAGGGGGCTCCGGCGGCCTCTGGGAGCGGCGTTTCTTCTTCCGCGGCGAAGTGAGAGGCGGCGCGGGAGCGGTTCTGACTGCCTGTAGTCGAGCCCGCAGGGAAGACGGAGGCAGGTCCTCGCAGTGGTCGCATCCTCCGTTGGCGAGGGCGAGCTCTGCGTGTTCCACTCCGAAACAGAGAACGCAGAAGCGGTCTCCTTCCTCGAGTGAAGAGCGGCATGAGCCGCAGGAAATACGAGGCATCTTGAAAAAGACGCTCGGCTCTTTTAGGAATATGGAATAGTAAAAAGGATACGCGTCGGATGGCGCTAGCTTGCTGGGCGGCTGAAGGTGGCAGACGGCCGGCTTCCTCAGACTCCGGAGCTCGCTAGACGGTGCCTTCTCAACGACGGCGGCTTCTTCCCAGGACAGCGGATGCGTGTAGCTCGCTGAAATGAACAGAATCAACGAACGAGCTGGGAGAGCGACCTTTATACACTGTAGCCACGCCCCTTTTGGCGGGCTGTGACGCAGTAAGCGAGCGCCGTCCGCTCATTGGCCGCGGACTCAGCGCCGCTCTCCCATAGGTTCGTGCATTCTCTCTGAGCGAACCAATGAGCCGCTAGCTAGCCCGCTCATGGTCTGCCTCAGAAGAGACTGCGTTGACAATGATTACAAAATTATGGAATAATTTTTTGGCTTCAACTTCTCAGCAAAGATGAATCTTTCCCGTAGCGTAAGCTAGCTTACGCAATACGAGAGAACCTCTCGTAAGAGAACTGTCTAGCGTATAACGCTAGTACTGGGGGCATATACTAAGTAAAAAGAAATCGCTAGTTTATACCACTAACAAGGCTCAAAATAGCCCCACACTAACACAGTAACATAATGAGGGTCCATACATGCGAAACAAAGCATTGAGAACTTTGTAAGTGTACAGACCGTTTAATAAGAACATACTTTATAAAGACAGTTCACTGAAGTCATCTTGGAAAACAGTCACGATAAGTCAAACCATGAACGTCGTGCTGAGTGAGCTGAACTGTATGAAGTTCAGTGAACTTCTGAACTGTATGAACGGTGTTCGGGGATTGACTTATCGAGACTATTTTCCAAGATGGCTCCTGTCTGCATACACAAAGTGAACTGTCTTTATAAAGTATCTTCTTATTAAACGGTCTGTACACTTACAAAGTTATCAATGCTTCGTTTTGCATTTATGGACCCTCATTACGTTACTGTGTTTGTGTGGGGCTATTTTGAGCCTTGTTAGTGGTATAAACTAGCGATTTTTATTTTTACTTAGTAAATGCCCCCATTACTAGCATTATACGCTAGACAGTTTTTAGAGATAAAACTCTTTACATTCGATTATCATGAAAACAAATCTCAGAGAACGGTCGACTAGGTACCGATGTTTTATTAGACCAAAGGTTCATTTTGCGCCAGAGTTCTCCTTTAGGTAGCTCAACTGTTTTCAACATTAATAAATCATAAGAAATGTTGTTATGTTGTTAAGACTGAAGTTATGGCTGCTGAAAATTCAGCTTTGCCCTCAGAGGAATAAATTACATTTAAAAATATAGACTTTTAATGTAAATGTTATTGTTTTTTCTTCTGTTTTACAGAGCTGAGGATGATGGCAGAAGGGAGGTTTTCCAGTCTGCCCAGGAACATGCACGTTGGGCGGCAGTGCCCGCTCGCATCTTCCATGGATCTGCTGAGCTCACGGGCTGCCGTAGCAGAGATGCCGGTCAGCGGCTACCAGGGCGTCTCCATTCATGGCACACTGCCTCGCAAAAAGAAGAGCAGCACTGGCTCCCCTGTGAAGCAGTGGGAGATGAATGGAAACGTGGGATCATCAGCGGCCCCACACCCAGGCCGATATCGCCTGCCACCGTCACCGCTAATACACAACGTTATTGAAGAACATCATGCTTTCTACTCAAGCAGGAACTGCAGTGTCACATCCAGGTAAACAGTATATCTATCTAGACACTTGTCTACACACCATTATCTAACTATACACCTGTCCTCCTCCAATGATTCATACACATCATAGCCCTGCAGCAAAAGCAAAAGCACTGCAATCTTATCAAAGAACTCAAAGCTACCCAATTGTTGAGGTGTTGCTATTTTATGGACCAGTGTGAATGCCATTTAAGATTACTGGGATGTCTTAACAGTAACATAGTATGGTTAAAAACACACTCCCAAATCATGAATCCATATACTCAACTTTCTAAGAGTAACATTACTATGTTGAAATAGGCTTTCAGGTCAACACAGCAGCAAATGAACCTGCCTGCTCTTCACAGCTTAGGCTCTTCAACTGAAAATATCTAAAACCGAACAAATGATGAAAGACAGTATGAGAATGATCAAGCCAGTTTTCACTATATAAAAGTACAATATGGTCAAGCTTTTGTGACTCAGAATTGGCACTACAATATCACTACAATACATCTGTGCACATAAATATGTCATAACTGATTTGCAGATTGTCGGATTATAGATTAGGATTGTTTAGGAAGTACTGATCACATTTTACATAGTACTATTACACCATCTCCTAATCGAGACAATGTAACAAGTGATAAAACATGTGTTGCTGGAACCTTTTAGTATTTTGCCCAGTTAGGACACAGTGTTATAGGACATTACAAGTTAATTAATCATTTGTTTACCTTCAGTACATTCAGTGTTTTCTGAATTAAACGTAATTTACAGTATCATAAGATCTAAAATGTCATCTAGGCATATTTTTTTGACTGTTTAACTGAACAACTTTCAGGTTGTGACTCCACTAGTGACAGAGTTGGAAGTCAGAGCAGTCGACACCAAGTCGTCAGCCTTACGTTGCCCACCGAGCCTGTTAACTTTACTGTCTTTCTTCAGAAAATAGGACATCTGAGATCATAATCACAAAATACAAGCTGCTACTGGCTCAGTCTCATGTCCAGGACTGTCTCCATCTCTTTTTCTTACGTCTTGTCTCTTTTTCCTCACTGTCTACCTGCGTCTCTTTGCAATAGCTCTAGGCCTGCTTGACTGTATCGTCCTCACTGACTTTTTGATCTTATCACAGCCTGCAACAAAGCAGTTTGTGTTTGTCCCTTATTTATGCAGACTGACTTAACAGGTAATATATCTCACCCTCAATAAAAGACCCGACAGATATAGTAAAGTAATCTGCGTCTGACTCTGTGGACAGTGTTACAGATTATAGAGGCCACTTTCCACAAACAGGACACAAAATAGACCTGGAAATACTGAAAATGTATAATAATATAATATAATATAATATAATATAATATAATATAATATAATATAATATAATATAATATAATATAATATAATATAATATAATATAATAAAATGTTGATTGTCAACCTCAGGAGGTATAAATTATAAAAATAATATTTAAATATAAAAGTATTTTTAAACCATGTTTTGGTAATTTACTAATAAATAAATTGGTAAGTTAATTAAAAATAATTATAAATAAATATAAATGATTAGAATACAAATTACTGATACATAAAATTATAATTCAATAGATAATATACAAAAATATGACATTTATTTGTGATTTAATTTATGGAAATCAATCTTAAAACAAGTTACTTTTCACAAATTATGTTAATTTTGTTAGATAATAATTGATCTAACATATTTAATACGTTTCACAAAAACTAATCCAGCAAATAAAATAAAAATAAAAACTTGTGTGGAAAGAGCCAGAGACAAAAAGAAACAGTGTACAGACCATAAGACAAAACATTGATAACCTGAAGTGTTGTTCACTTTTCCAGTAAGTACTATTACCAAAAGCACCCCAGGAAAAGCAGAGGATAGACTAAATAGAGGATTTAACATAAGTGAGACTGTGTGCGTTTGTGTGTCTTTAAACGCGTAGGTGTGTGTTTGGGTTTGCGTAAGACTAGTGGGCCATATTTGTCCCTTGACATTTGAAGGTTACCTAATATTGGACTACTATTTCACAGCCATCAAGCTCACTGAGAAATGGGAAGTGAAAAATGACCACGTCACACAAAAGGAGCTCCTCTGGGGGGGCAACAGGGTTAGCAACGACCTCTCCTAGCGGCCCAGTCACCATGACAACACCTTATTGCGACTCTGCATGACACATGGAAAAAGAAATAGGTGTTGTAGAACATAAAAACACTGTGCATGAGAGAGACAGGAGAGCGAGGGGAACCGACAGCACAGAATAGGATTGTAATTTCCTAATGTTGACACCTACGTTAAATCAAGAAGCAATAACTACTCGAACAGCATTGTGATTAAATATCAACCTCCTGAACGTCTGGCTGCAGAATGCTCCACCAGTTTGTGTGTCTGTCTGCAGGTGAGTAGACAGATGAGATCCGATTGGTTTTGTCGCTAGGAAACATTTATCTTTTAGAAAAGAAAGGATTTAATCACTTTGAGTCTTACTACCTGCATGTGTGAGGCAGCTGTTCTAACACAGACACACACACAAGGTCTTCACAGGTTAAAGTGAGGGTTGTACATTTATAGCTTGACTGAAAGATGAAAGAATTTTTGAAGAGACAGATCGGCAGAGAGATTGAGAGCAACACACAAAGAAATGGAGAGAATGAGACAGATGAAAGAGATGATGGAGGAGCAACGGTGCCAATTGATTTACTTGTTAAAGCTGATTAAAGTGGTTCTATAGTTGACAGAACCCACTCAGCATCCTCATAACATGGCCACAATTATCTCACGTGTGTCACCATTATCTTGGTTCAAACTGCCAAAGACAGAAATTACAGCTGGCAAACATTAAAAAAAAGTGTTCACATCGTTTTAAAAGATTTTTTTTACAATATATAAGTTAACAAGAACAGTAAATTGCCAGGTTTTTTTTTTTTTGAAGTAATAATAATAATAGCATTTTTAACCACAAAATACCTTACATGCCACAATATAAAAACATTTCAGGATTTTTTCTTCACCAGGATATTTTGTCACTAGACAGTGCCACCTATCTATCATAATGTTCAACATCACAAGACATCAACTGTATAATTTGTTATACTATTATCTATAAGGGGATAAATGTATTCACATGGGAACTTGTTACTATGGACCCTTCACATTTAAGTTTTTCTCGTCGTAGTTGGGTAAACGTCTATAACGGTGAATGAGAGACTACATTAAATATATTTTTTGTTTCAATTTGCTCAAAGAGCAAAAGAAAAACTCAACAATAGTGTTTTCACAACTTTCAAAAAGAGGAAAAAAATACAGCGAGATCCCAAAAATGAATTTTCCGTCATTAACTTCTCACCCTCATGTCAGTCCAAAACCATAAGACCTTAGTTTATTTTCTGAAAACAAATGAAAATATTTTTGATCAAATCCGAGAGCTTTCTGTCCCTCAATTGCCTGCAACATTATTACCACCTTCAAGCCCCATAAGGTAAGCTCTACAGAACCCAAACATTTTATCCAGACTACTAGATCAGACATCAACCCAAACCCACACCCTTTTGAATTGTCAATTAAAAAAAAAAACAGAAAATATAACAAATAAAATAAATAATTCATACCTTATTCCTTTTGTCGCAAAAGAGTAAATTAAACTCCATTACACATAGGAAGGAAGGTTTGAACATTATAGTAATGACAAATGCTTATTATTTGAAAAACAGCTAGAAAGAGTTTAAGGAAGCCAGATAATATATATATAAAAAAAGGTAAACATAAATGCAATGGAGAGTGGGTAGCTGTGCTGCTTATGTTATAGTTATAGTTATGTCATCCTCATCACTTTTCTGATGAGCTTATCAAAAACAGGCAACTCTAAATATATAGTCATAAAACGTGAACAGCTCATTTAAGCGCAAACACAGCTTAACCACAGACACATCTGAGCCCTGTCTAATCAGAATGTAGTGAACCTGACTGATATCAGTTCAACGGTCTGAACTGCCTTTACTGTATGTCTTTCAAGTGAATTTCTTACCAAGGCTACAGCATATGGCAGATTTTTGGGAGCGTTGCATGTCAAATGTCCCATTTCTCTCCAGTTTAAGCATTATGAATCTGCTTCTGGTAACTTAATAACAGCCTGTCCATCTCTCTAACTTGGCATGTCCTCCCTCAGCTCTCTAATTCTGACTGGTGAGGCTTTGTGAGGTTCAAATCACCACTTTGAGACACAATGCAGCTGTGGCTTGGCATAGAACAAACCAGAGATGGAGATGGATGTTTTCTTGAGGCTGTGTCCTCACTTCATGCCCTTCTCTTTGCGGATAAGACGGCATGTTCAGCCCAAACTCAGGTCACTCCTGGGTAGGCCCGTGGGAGTACTGACAGTGTTCTCTTATAGCACGATAATGTCAGCGTTCAGAAGCTTTAAAGCGTGACCTCTCGCCTCTAGAGTTGCTTTCTTCTTAATGTTCAATGGGATTTTAAAACAGGAAATCAGTTACGCTTTTAAGTTCAATCAAATGTGAAGCAAACAAACAAGCCAAGAAATCTTAAACATTATCATATTTCCAGTTATCTGACGCCTTTTATATATCTGAGCTCTCACCCCAGGTGCCACCTCCACACTGGATCTGAAAGTCACCCTTATTCCCCTAAGGGGGTGAGACAGTCCACCACACACCCTGGTGGGTAAGAAAGAAAGAGTCATAAAGAAGTCAGGTTTTTGTGTAAGCTGAGATGAAAGGGACTCTGGGTAAAGTCAGAAAGAGAGAGGGCGGAATGGTCTAAATGGAGAAAAAGCTGAGCCGTGCACCTCGACCGCGCGCTCTTCTCCTCGACTCCTTCACCACTGCGCTTCCTGCGTTCCACGCTTCACATAGGGAATCTAAATAAAACAAAAATGTAGTGCTGACCATGGGCCATCTCTGCAGTTAGGGTAAGTCACATCTAGACCGCAACCTTAAAGCCGCTGGCAGGAATAGAGGTCATGTGTACAATCGCTGCCTCCTGTCTGCTCCTGCATATCGCATATGTTCTGTTAAATTTGTGCTAAGTTTGTCTCTTACCCAAAGGTTGCACTGAAAAGTTTATTTATGCTGTTTTCAGTCCTGTGGGAAATTTAGACTGAAGGAATTAATTTCCCTTTTCCTGGCTATAATCCTTTATAATTTGGGTAAATCTTCACGCAAGCAGAAATCCGGAGAGAGTCACAAGAGTGTTTGTGTGTGAGATGGAAAGACGCTGAAAGCCCCCAGACCTTTAATACCAGCTGTGACATGCTCATCCTAGACTGCCTTTGTAAAGCCCGCATACGTTTGCACAGTATCCAAACTGATACTTGCTTTAATCTCAGCCGCACTTTGCAAATTGGGGTTGATGTGGAAGGGATTGTGTGTGTTTGGGGGGGATGGGGGGGTGTACGTGTCCACATGTTGTGGCTAGTGTGGTCTATACTGTGGTGTAATGATGACCTCAGGCAATAGGGCTGGACTGGTAGGCACTTTACTGCAGTCCAACGTACAGCCTGCCCAGAGAATGACCCACACACACACACTTACAGTTATACAGGCAGCTGAGCTAGAGAGTTGATGTGTTCGCTGAAGAGAGTTATTTCTTTCTCCTGCAGGGACGGCGCAGGCATGGACCCTAACATGGAGTATGTCAAGGTAAGGCTTCACATCTTACCTTTATCAATATGTGCGTGTGGAGTTTTGAATGATTGCTCTATTATGGTAAAAAGCCGGTGGCAATGCATGAGTGGTGTGGCGGGTGAGGGTTGTAGAAGACAGGGGTGATCTTTAAGATATTCAATACTATTCAGCTCAAAGAGTTTAGAAAGTTAGAAAAAGAAAGTTGTTAGAAAGTGGGACAGGAATGTCAGCTATGCTGAAAGTTGAGGATATGAAAGATTGTAGTTTATTGACAGTGAGTTGGGTAAATATACATAATACATTACATAGGCTACTTGGATTCGCATCAGAGATAAATGTGTGCGTCAGTGTGAGTGATTCTCTTTGTTATAGTATAAACATTTGCACTTCCTGACGTTTTGTATCTCATGTGCCAGTTGATGATGATTAGAGTTGAGCGGATTGCAAAAACAATACTTTCGTTGCATTTCTCAATGTTATAACTTGCATGATGGATTTTTTATTAAATATTAGCTCTCTCTTTGACCTGTCTAGGTAGTTGACAGCATTTGATTCTGCCAGGAATACATCAGACCTCAAACGTGTAGAACTTTAAGCCTGAGCTGTTCATAAAACACAGGAAACTCCACAGCCAACATTTTCGATAAAGATCTGACAATCTCTGCGTTCCCTACTGTGCGAGAGGCCCCTGTGGACACATCCTCAATTAAAATGGCACAATTACAAGGAGGAAATGAGCTGATGATGTTTCAAGGGTCTGCAAGCAGCATATGTAGTTTAAATTATGGTATCAAGTTAGGAACAAATGAAAAATGTCCCTTTCCAGCAAAGGCAGAATCGTTCCCTGGCTTTATTTTGACCTGAGGCATCTAGCCGTTATGAAAGCTCTTCATCTCACGACACGACTGTATTACAACACCCATGACTCAGGTCTGATGAGAGAGATATGGTGTGACATTTATCTTGGGGGTGTCTCATTCAGTTAGCATTGACTGAATGAGATTTTCCACTGTGATCATCACCTGCAGCCTTGAGTGTGCTGACACCACACAGCCACCTCTGTCAGCCTGCTGAGAAACCATCCGTCACTCTCTCTGTCCTCCTCATACTCAGTAGCTCTGTGGTTTGCCTCATCTTGGGCGCTAGCAACTCTCTGCGAAGAACAAACGTCTCTTAGCCTTACCTCACACAAACAACAAACCAAACAGCACAAACACACACGGTCAATACTAGCAACTACATTATAGCAGTGCTCCGGTGCAGTTGAACACACAGTTACCATAATGAAATACAGTTTCAAAAGATGTCATTACAGGGTGGATCTTACAGCCATTCAAGATCATGATTGTGTCATATTTCACCACAAATTATAGAATTGATAAGCCAGTTGTTTATTCCATTATATTAAACACATTGTACTCCTCATTATAATTTAAATATATACACGCTATATGTGTGTTGAATATATTTAAATTAAATGTATTTATATTAAATTAATTTACTATTGAAATTAATACTAATAAATATTGTATTAAATAAATTGGGAGAGAGAAATTAATAAATGTTAAGATTTTATTTTAACTTATTTTATTAATTTTTATTTCCAATTTGTCCACTCAAAAATGAAAATTTTGTTCCAACCCCGTAAGACTTTTGTTCCTCTTCGGAACACAAATTAATCTATTTTTGATTAAATCTTAGAGCTGGATCACTCCTCCATAAGCTTCTTAGGGATTGAAACTTGCCAGCCCAGAAAAGTTCTAAAAGACATCGTGAAAACTGTCCAAGTGACTAAAGTGGCTCAATCTTAAGGTTATCAAGCAACGAGAATACTTTTTGTGCGCAAAAACAAACAAAAATAATGACTTTATTCAACTACTGTATTCATTTCCTTCTCTGTGGGGCTCGAGTGAATTCACATAGTGAAACAGTATGATCCAGACATTCAGATCCAGAGATGCACCCTCCAATCAGAGAGGCCTATAATAGAACTTGATAGGAGATGACATAACATATCCTCAGGGGAATAACATAGCCATTAAATGTTTCAAACAGATGAATTGCACACACTGGCTCTTTATACTCTATTTTATGCAGTTCTTAGAACTGTCTGCCTGTTTAATGTGTGGCCATCTGTAAGCATCAATAGCTGCCATGTGAAGACAACAGTTTTTCTGTTTACAACCTTAAAAACTCAGCTGAAAACAACTAACTCTAGACATTTACAATCTGCCCTGGACACATCTGTGTGTTTGTGTCAAGGTTTGCAATGGTCAAAGGATCACATCTTCAGTAAATCATCCCCTTCCTCTCCCTCTGAATGAATAAAGGTGGACCTCACCTTGCTCTCTTCAGGTGGTGTTGAGTTTCCAACGTTGTGTTTAGCGAACACCTGGATCTGTACATTTTCCCATTTAGATCTGTGCACAAGTTTAATCCATCTGTCAGAAAACCACAGATGGGTTCGGTTTATCATCTAATCTCGCTCTGAAGCTCATTTAGTAAATTTGTTAAATTTAATTCTGCTGTAAATCAGCTCTAGTAAGACAAAAGTGTCATTGTTCAGTTGAAATCAGTTCAATGTTGATTCGGTTAGGTTCAAAATGTAGTCAATTATGGAATGAGATCAGTTCATCTATAAAGCAGCTCTTTAAAACAGTGATGTTCTCATCCGAGTGTCAGTGCAGTTACATCAATAATATCGGCAACTATTAAGTGTCCCTAAGCCAAAAGGCGACAGTGGCAAGGAAATCTAAAGACCTAGTATAATCTGTGAAGATACTGTATTTAGTTTGAAATGAAAATGAGATTGTTTGGAAAGTAAAACTCTCCTCTGTTACTGTTACCTGGATGTCAATTGTCGAACCATGAAACAATGAAAACGTGGAGGGTTTTCTAAAAGGAAAAAAAAGAAAACATGGATTATTTTATGTTATCTAGGATCTTAAAACAATACTTCTGTCTCTCACAGTCTTGTTTGTTATGTATGTTATATATTAAATACTTTCTAGACAAGGTCTATAAATCAATACAAAAGGATCCCTTTTCCATCAGGTTTAATCCATGTCTTTCTTCATTTGACTGGCTAGTTTTCAGCTCAATTATGTTGGTTTTACAGTCTTGACCTATTTTTTGACAACCTGTTAGTTGAGGAATGTTTTCTTCAAAGTTAACAGGAAGCCAGCCATCAAAAATATGGGATAATTAACTTCCAAGACCTCATATGCTCATATCACTTCCTGAAGTCAGATGACTTGAGTTTTAGCATTAGTGAAAACTGTTTGTTTTTAGATGATATCAGATCAGGTCATGTAGTGGTTTCCATCATGGTTTCATTTGTAACCCCAGGACATTTCTGAAAAAAAGGGGGAGAACAACCCCTACAATATGTTATAAGGAACTGAGGGCAAATCATCTATCTGTATTTAATGTGAAGCACAGATGACATGATTTATTCAATATCAAGCCTTCATTCTTCTCTGTCTCTCTCCTTGCGTGTAAAGCAGAAATTGGCAACAACGTGGTGCGAAATTGGAGCTTTTATCATCAAATGATGATCTGACTTGATGTTTAAAAACAATTTTTAAAGGGTGGGAGTTAATTCTCTCTCTTAAGGGATCTGCGGATGTGATTATGATGCATGAATCACAGACTTCTTGTTGTGAATCATAAATGGGAACGATTGGGATGGTGTCATAGAGACATCAATGCCACATTTGGTTTAGTGTATGTATCCATTATATGACCGTTCAGTCTCATTTTTTAACTTCACACTCTCCTTAACAAGGATATATACTGTACAAATATTCAAAATTGGGAGTGGATGAAAAAAAAAAGATCAGTTAAAAAAAGTCATTAAAAACTCTTACAAACTAGAAACATTATCTGATCTGAAAGGCTAATATAGTACTGTATATGATCAATAACTTTTTTAATCTCCAAAGAACCATAGTTACTTACAATGGCACTTTAGTGCGACATAAAAATATCTAAGATTAGGAACATGAACGTCCAACAGTCGTAATATTTTAAGGAAAAAGTCAAAATTACAGAATAAAAAAAAAAAACACAAATAAAAATAAAAAGAATAAAATTTAAATTCACAAAATATAAAAAAAATAATAATAAAAAATGGAGAATAAAGAAAATTCACAAAATATTATGACTACAATCTTTTATTGCTACATATTTAGCAATAAAGTATGAAATCTCGTAATCATAGATTTTTATATACTTTCTTTTTGTAATATTACAACTTTGTCAATTGTATACTTTTTTCTAAAAAAAAAAAATACAAATTCAATGTCATTTTGCTATGAATTTATTCTAGTGTTTTTTTTATTTATTTTTTACATGTTGCACTAAAACACTGTTACCAACCTTATTTACAGTAGCAAGAAAATAGTATGGTTTCTTTTCTGCTCTCTCTCATACAAACATGCACCTGTACGTACTCATATCTTTCTGTTCTTGAAGGCCTGACTGTGAACACATATACTGTTGCTCAGTAAGCTGTTAAGCACTCATGAAAGGGCTTTACAGGAACAATGAGGCACTGTTCCCTCTGTGGGATCTGCTGCCCTGCGAGCCCACAGAAAGACCTCTTTAGCCGGTTTGAACCCTCTCTGAACACACACAGACACAAGTACAGGAAGACTGGTCTAGAACACAGAACATAGACTGACCCAAAGAGTTTCCGGCTCTTAAACGATGAGAAAGACTGGAAGCGTGGAGACTCGTATTTTTAGATCAAATCATATCATCATTGCTTTATATTTTATAAGGATATAGACAATAATGAGAGTAAATAATGAGGCTGTGAAAGGTAGGAATTACTTTAGGTCGGATTGCATGTAAGAAAAGTGCTAAAGACGTGGCCATTTACACATTACGATGTCTTTCATTAACAAACATATAATGCCCAAGAGATCGCTAATTGTGTCGATTCAAATTTAAATATACATGAAAATATTACATGCATGATATTTGAGGCCTAAAAACCAGATCCATCCATC